TTGGTACCAAAAACAAAACAAAGACATTTCTGTCATAGAAAACTAAACCAAGCATTTCCCTTAGCTTCTCTGGATGCCGTTGAGCGTATGTGACTGCAGAGCAAAACATCTTTAGTGCCACATAATGGTGAAATACAAAGCAGAGCTATGGCAGTGCAAATGCCCACTGTATGTTCTTTGAGACATTGTCTTTTTTTTTTTTAATTTATTTGTGTGTGTGTGTGTGTGTGTGTGTGTGTGTGTCCAGCTCAGCCCACCAGGGGGCGGGGCTGGCTGGCATGTGGTGCTGGGGGATTGAACCGGGGTCCCTTTGCTTTGCTACGCTTGTTCTAAGTAGGTGCTTTAGACCACTGAGCCATCTCACCAGCCTGAGACATTGTCTTGATGTGAGAAATTTCAGGTCATTGTTAAAGACAGTAGACTGGGACAAGCATAGTCAAGTTTAGCTTATTTATTTATTTCTCTCTCCTCCCCCGCAAACTGGGCCTTACTATGTAGTCCAGGCTGACCCAGAATTGGAAGTGGTTCTCTTACCTCAGCCTTCCTACTTCTAAGTTTAGAGGCATTCACCTCCACATCTGGCTTATTTTTAGCCTTTCAGACATTTTTTATCCTGGTGTAGTGGTACATACCTGTCATCTTAGCAATCAAGAGGATCTCTACAAATTCCGGGCCAGTCCAAACTGCATAGTGAGACCCCATCCCCATCTCCAAAAAAAAATTTTTTTTTCTTCTAACTATGAGTAGTATCTATATATGAGACATTTTCTAATGTAGGAGCCCTTCTGTGGAGCTTGCTTCCAGAAGTAGTTCTTCATTGACATGTTGTCCAGAAGACCTTAAATGTAATTAAAATGTCAGCATTGACTGTTTATATGGATGAACATACATGCAACATAAATTAAATAGACAAGAGCCCCAGTAGCAGTGTGACGCAGGGGACCGCAGTTCCATCCCGGCACCACATGTTGCTCTAGCCCCTTCCCACAAAAAAACAAAAAGAAGGCTGAATCAGGTCCATTTCAGTGTCTACCTATAAAACAAGAACAATCACAGAGAGTTCATTTCAGCATCTTCTGCTAACTTCTGTCTTTCTTCTTCCTCTTTTTTTGAGGTATTGGGGATTAAACTCAGGACTTTGCACTTCCCAGGCAGGAACTTGTTCTAATGAGCTATCTCCTTGGCCCTTGTCTTTCTTCTTGCTCATGTTTAGCTCTCAATCCAGCTTCCATGTTATTTTGCTTTCTTTCTTCATTTTTCTTTGCAAAATAATTTTCCTTAAAAAGTATTAACAAGTCTGTGTCTTTATGCTTCTGGCCAGAAGTTTCTACAAACTTCTTTGCTATCAGACACAGCAAATATTGATCCCTTCAATGCTTTGTACAATGTTCTTCTCATCTGGATATTTAGTACTTGACCTTTGTCTTCTAGCCATTCTTTGATGTCATTGAGGGTTGTATCTGTTGGGAAGCCTTTGCTGTAGACATATCTGTTTTGTACATCACTTTTCTACTCATCAGTCACTTCAGGGAGGAGTTTGGAGATCTTCTGATTTGCATTGTGTGCTCACTGATTTCCATGAGTTCTGCCTTAGATTTATTTCAATGCTTCACTATTACACTAAAGTGTGTTGCTGGGCGGTTGAGCCTATTGAATTTGATCATTATTTCCAAGGATACCAGCCTGGGCCTGCTGAAGGAAAAACACAGTTTCAGGGCAAGGAAACAAATTTGATAAGGAAAAAGAATGTGATGAAAATGGTGCCCCCGGACCATAGTCAAGTACTAAATACATAAGTGAAAAGAGCAAGAGAAGAGACAAGAAGAATGTTCATCAAAACAACAGAAAACAGTGCTAGGAGCCTTTAGTTTAGTAAACAATTTTTTAAATTTATCTTAGGTGTTAAGCTGCTTTTTTGTCTTTGGAGGCTTTTAAGAAGAAGATTCAGGGCCCATGAGATAGCTCAGCAGCCTAAAGTGCCTGCTTAGGCAAGCCCAGGCAGACGCAGGGGACCGCAGTTCGATCCCGGCACCACATGGTGCTCCAGCTCCTGCCACAGAAACAAATACAAAAAAAAGACTGAATTAGGTCCACTTCAGTGTCCACCTATAAAAAAGGGTAATTTTTTTTTGTTATTTTAACTTATTTTTTTGTTGTTATTATCTAAACACATTCTTAAATATATAGTTCTGTATGTATTTAGATAATTCAAATATCAAAAGGAAAAGTCTCCCACTAAATTGTCTTTGTAATATGAGAATGTATTAGTATAAAATAACAAAATATATACTATATAAAAAGTATAGTTTCTTTCTCTTTTGTCTTGTTGTTGTTTTTTTTTTTTTTTTTTTTTTTTTTTTGGTGGAACCAGGTATTGAATGAAGGCCCTTGTGCTTGCCAGGGAAGCACTTATTCTATTGAGCCATCTCCCCAGCCCCTAATGTTTTCAGATCCAGGGCTGACATTCCTCTGGACAGAAAGTGACTTCCATTCATAAAAATTGCTTTTTTTCTTTTTTCTTTTTTTGCAGTGCTGGGGATTTAACTCAGGACCCTGCACTTGCCAGGCAAGTGCTTATTCTACTGAGCTATCTCTCCAGCCCCAAAAAATTGCTTTCATAAGGGGCTGGAGAAAGCTCAGCATATAAGTGCCTTCCTGGCAAGCACAAGGTCCTGAGTTTGATCCTTGGTACCAAAAACAAAACAAAGACATTTCTGTCATAGAAAATGCTGGCTCAGAGATTTCTTTTTTATTTTTTTAAAAATAATTATTTTATTGGCTTTATTAATACATGTGTATTATGAAATCGTTACACTCATCATGGGAAGTTGGTACATGACACATTTTAATTCTTTTCATTGTCTTTTCTTTCTCCTTCCTCCCTCTAACAGAGATTTCCTTCTAGGGCTGAGCAGATGGCTCAGTAGAATAAGCACTTGTCTGGAAAGCGCAAGGGCCTGAGTTCAATCCCCTGTTCCACCA